ACGTAGTTTTATTCCCACCCCGGAATTCCCGATAACCCCGGGCATAGCTATAACTCCGAAAGAGGAGATGACTAGAGATGTTATAAAAAGAGGCGAGTACAATTCCCCATACTACAAACCCACCTCTGAGCAAGCTCAAGAGTCTGATCTAAAGGTATCTAACAATAAGCCTAAAGACAACAGTACACAAGAGTCACCCATTATATCTTCATCGCACATACAATTACATTCGGTGCACAATAGTCTCACTTCCGGCAATACTTATCAGACGTGTTCTTCTAAACTAGAGATAACGGAGTTCGAAGTGATCAAGGAGAATTTGCCGAAAGAAGAAGCTATCAAAGAGTTCAAAATTGCATCTTCTTCCAAAGATTCAGGAAGCGCAGAATTCAACGCTTCCATTGTAACAGATCGCCACGTAGATCTGATACAGATAAATGAATTCAAAGGCATAAGTGAGCATCAAGAAATAATAACCGATGTCAACGATTCTCACAATGATTCTGAGAGTAGCTCGTCATCTGACACATCATCGTCATCATCGTCATCCTCGTCATCTACATCCAGCAGTTCGAATACATCAATAAACACATGTTCGCCAAACGAGAAATGCAACAAAGCCCCAAGTAAAACGAGCACAGACATCAGTAGCGATTTCGCGGAAAAAAACATTAACGCACCGAAAAATATAAATGATGCAACAAATATACAAAACGCATGTAAAAAATCAGATGATGCGATTGAGACGGAGTCTTCGCCAAAAAAAGTATTCGCGATCACGAAAACTGACGATCAGCTAAAGAATATCCAAAAAGAAACCCCAGCTAAAGATGAGACTTTATTAAATGAGGCTGATATTTCGGAAACGCCCAGCAGCTCAAAAAGCGTAGTAGAAATGATTAACTTGACAACAAAAATATCGGCAATTATGACGAAAGACGAAAAATTATCGAAATCAAATAAGCCACCAAAGAGAGAGAATAGCAGTAAAATACAAATCAACAAACCGAGACCACTGCCAAAGATAATAGATATACAGTGTATTCAGCCAGGATTGATCCAGTTGCGGAAACCGATTAAAGACGAATGTCAATCCAAGGGCGAGCAAAGCACGTCTGTGAACAATAAATTTATGCAAAGGCAGCTATTAGAAGAAAAACGACAACGCATCATGGCTAAGATCAAAGATAACTCAAAATTGAATCCTTGTAGCACAAAACGTAAACGCATTTTAACAAGCAAAGCTTCAGAAACTCTAAAGAAGTTTGGTAGAGGAAACCGAAACATACGTCCAACGACAAAGTATTCCAGAAATGTTAATAAGAATACGGAGCAAGATAATCGACAGGAAACCTCAAAAAAAAATACGCAAAGACAACATAAGACGGAAAAACCAAATCTCGCGAATAAGCGCTGTGACAACAAAGAAAAAACGACGAACCAAGTTGCTGCATCGAAAAGTACAGATTCTAACTTAACCAATTACAAAAATAATGAGAGCAAGCCGCTTGATAATCATACGACAAAACAATTTGTAAATTATATTTGTGAAAATAATGAAGTTGAAAATTGTAAGAAAAACGAATCCACGGAATTGCATAATTCTTTATCAGAAAATCAAGATTATCTAAAAAAGATGCTAGATACTAAGGAGAGTAGAGAGGAATATTGTAATATTGAGAGTAATGTCGACAAAAATGGAGTAGGAGAAACACTTAAAAATATTGATGTACAAGAACAAATCTTGAAAAACGAAAATTCGAAGAAATATATTGTTACACAAGAAATATCAGCTCTGGATAAAGTAAAGCATGACCAAACAGAAGATAAAAAAAATAAACCGAGACAGTTTTTAAATGATAAATCTGATTACAAAATATTAAGATATAAGGTAGATCAAGTAAAGCGTGACTTATTTAGTGACGAGGAAAATGATAACAAAACATCTTCGGCAAAAGATAACAAAACCAAGGCAATCGATGCAGAAATTTCAAATTCTAATCTTGTTGAAACTTCGGACAAGAACGAAACCGCCAACGTCGAAAATCCTAAGCAGGAATTATCGACCGTTCTTCAATGTTTGCAATTAGTGCCAGCGTCTAAAAAGGAGCATTTGTACAATAATAAAAATCAAGTTGAACAGCAACACAAAGAACAGAGTGAACCTGAAAACGAAAGTGATAATGAGTTGCATCAAACAGATGTTCATAATAATAAAACAGAGTATCACTTTGTATATGACGATAGTGTACCGATGAAAAAGAGAAGAAGGAGGTACAGCGCACATGAATTACAGATCGAAATCAATTATGCAGATCTCTCGGATCCAAATCCCGTTGAGTGCATCAAGATAATGAAAGCTACCGAATTCGAAGAAATACTTAATCTTCCGCCTAAGAAACGAACAGTGAATAAAAAATCTCGCACTAAAAATGAAAAAGTTTGCGAAACACCTAAGACGGATAAGGACATGCATAATCTAAAAGATGATATCACAAAACCTTTGGCTACGTCATCTCCTGTAGATGAACCACCAAAAGCTAAAATGAAAAAGACGATTAAAACTGCTGCAACAAACAAAACTAATAACAATAAGCAATCTGATACAAAGAAAAAGCAAAAACTGGATAAGCAGGAAAAAGGTAAGATTGTAAAGATATTTTGTTATTTTTGATAAAACTTGTTTTTCATTGTAAAAAAGTTAGATATCGTTATATTAAAATGTTTTAGTTCCAGATATCACTACCAAAAGCCGAAAAAGAAAACTGTCAGAAGCAAAAGAAACGAAACAGGTAATTAAATAATTCATATTTATGTTAATATATTTACGTTACCTCTAATAATACTATATACAATACAATTGTTTTTATAATTCTTTATCTAGATTGAGAAGAAATGCCCGACTGATCCTCAAGCATTACTTAGTAACTTAGACGAAATGGACCTGAATAAATTCCTGTCTACAGTTCATGGACCTGAATAAATGCTCTCTTTATTGTATATATGTATAAAAATGTAAATACTGTTTTTTCTATTTTTATATAATTACACATATATAGTATTAGAGTATTGGAAGTGAAGATAGAGTATTTTATTACTGATATAATCTAGATTACTTAACATTATTTATATACATATCTCTTCAAAGTCATTTCCATATGATTATCATTTCTTTAGCCAAATATTTTTTAAATATCGACTTTATGTTGTGAATAAATATTTATTATCTTTTAATTTAAGACAAAATATTTTAAGATTAATTTTTTAATTTTTAATTGTGTGAAAATATAAAATTATATCAAGGTCTCTACATACAATGCCAAACTGCTACAGTGGCTTCAGCACATGAAAAAATATATATATAAGTTAAAAATATCTACTAAATATATATCCGATTCCGAATGATTTCGGAGTTAAGGAATATTGAAGTAAGGAAACATGAATCATACAATTATAGCAACTGATACTTAGTGCTGCCGATATCATCCGCGTCAAACTCCAAATAATTTTCCAAAGTCCAAAACAATTTATTAATTCGTGCTAAACAAATGTGTCGAAATCGACGGAGAAATATTTGAACATCTTTTGTAAAACATTGAATAAAAATCGTGTAAATGTAGTAATAGTAAATGTTTTTAATGTTCGTTATTTTATTTAATGCTTTACAAAAGATGTTCAAATATTTCTCCGTCGATTTCGACACATTTGTTTAGCACGAATTAATAAATTGTTTTGGACTTTGGAAAATTATTTGGAGTTTGACGCGGATGATATCGGCAGCACTAGTATCAGTGCTATAATTGTCCTGAATTTTGAAATCTCATTCTGGTAGACTAGATCTTTCTTTAGAACTTTCGTTCATCAAATTGTAACTAGGTAAGTTGTAGACTCGCCTTTTTCACGAGAAACAGTAGATGACAGAGCCGGCAATTGACAGCGACACATTATTAACATATATTTGTTCATATTTTGATGGACGAATGAAAGATTTGGTTTATCGGAATAAGATTCAGAATTCAGAACAGAGAATAAGGGGACTATATTTATTTTCACTCATGTTTCCATCCATACTCTATTTAGAATCGGACGTGTATTTATTAGACACTTTCGACTTTTTTTCATATTCATAAGCCGTTGTAGCAGTTTTGACACTGTTGCAGGCACCCTGCATTTGTGCACGTAATAGAATAAAATTTATTACACTTCAGCATACACGGCCAAGAAAAGAACTTGGTTTACATATTATACAGCCTTAACCCATTTGTGCATGCGTGCGTGTGGTTATGGGGAATATATTATCTGACAATACAGAATTTGTTGTATAGACTGGCCTAGTTTACACCGACGGTTCGATCTGGGTTAGAATGCAAGAATCAACCAACTGCAGTCAAGCGAATGCTCCCCTGTTACAGTCGAATGACAAGGGAATGCTCGACTGCAGTTGGTTGGTTCTTACATTCCGACTTGGATCGAACCCTCGGTGTAAACTAGGCCGTTGTATCCATAACTGACAATATTAATTGAATTTGTTTGATATAATAACAAGAATAACAATTTAAAAAGAAATGATTTTTTAACAAATCTTGATACTTGGCACTATTATATTTTTATAGTACAATGTAGAGACATTTTTCATGGCACTACAAAAACGGGAAAATACACAATAACATATGATACTACATAATACATTTATAATTTATGACTCGGAAAAGTTTACAAAATTTTATAACAAATTAAATTAATTTTCAGAATATTACAATTTTCTTCGATAAATATCAACTAAAATATTTCATTTTTCTATTATAAATAAACGATAAACGTGTTATTAAATAGAGTCATTTCCAAATACTACATTTTTATACACACGTTTTATGTAATCTTCAATTTCACAGAAATACTTGTAATCTGATATAAAGCAAATGTATACAGTAGTTACACATTTTCAAAATCTTAACGAAAAAAATTGTGAATACAAGAAAACACATTTTTTAATTGAAATTCATTAAAATTAAAACTTTAACTCTTTGATTTGGCCACTTCATCCACTTCTTCCACAACATCCATGAACTTTCGCCATTGTTGCATGGATAAACATATTCCTATAAAGATATTAAAATATCGAATATATTTTACTGAAAATTTTAATAAATCTTTTTATATTTTTTCTAATTGATTATAAATTATCAGCAGTAAAGTTTATTAAAAAATCTTTGCCAAAAAATATTACCTTTTTTTCCAGGTTTTAAATCACCTTCCTTGTCATAATACATCTCCCGAATATCAACATAATATTTGCCTTTGAAATTTCTCACATTTACTTGACGATTGCTGCCCAAGTCCCAAACAGTTTCATCGTCAGTTTTCGCCTTCTTTGCTGGTTTCTTCTCATCTTTCGTCGCTTTATCATCCTCTCTTTCCCTCTTTTGCTTCTTTGATTTTACTTCCTATAAATAGAAAATAAAAAGTATGAAACATTTACAAAATAGATAAAAATATATGAATAAAGGTAATTATTTCATTTAACTCATCTTTGATCTTAATGAAATTAGATTCAATGAGCTGAGGAAGGCTAAGCTAAACAATTAGTAAAATAATACCTCTTCACTGCTATCATCGCTGTCAGAGAGATATTCTTTTGACTTTGGCATCTTCAACTTCAAAAACGCAACAAACTTGTCCTTAAAAAAATTCAATATCACTTTTGAGAGAGATTATTAAATGAATCATCAATGTAACAAACTTTGCTAACAATTTTCATTTGCGGCGTATTTTATACAATGATATTACGCATAAATCGTTTCTTTTATCAAAAATGTTTTATAGATTTCGAAATGGTATTATTATTTCATGACCGTTATATATATTCATATGCAGAAATATAACCTATACTTTCCAGTCATTGTATTTTGACTAATACATATTTTTGGAACATTTATCGATTTCAAATTTAAACTACTATCATACTTTCTTAGCACGTTTGTTAAATTATGGTACAGTTATAAAATCACGTATAATTATGGAAAATAACATACCAATTATACTCCTTGAACAAATTGAGGTGAATTCGATCAGAGTCCAAATCAGTCGCTTATTCTTCTCTCGGATTCGACTGTAATTGGTCAATTTCTTACGGCTTAAGGCTTAAAACACCTATTGTAGATCCGAGGCTTGCCTCAAGTCAGAACGTCAGAAGTCTTAATCAGTCTTAAGGCCTTGGCACATATTAAAACTTAAGGCGTCATCTACAATACACGGAGTAAGAAGTAAGAGTAAGAAATTGACCAATCATAGTCGATTATTCTTCTCACATTCGACTGTGATTGGTCAATTTCTTACTCTTACTTCTTACTCCGTGTATTGTAGACGGGCCTTCAGATTTACTCTATTGTGTTTGTGGACTTAACAAAGTCGTTCAAGTTGGCTATTGGCCAACTTCACCGATTATGACTTAAGATCGTTTAGAACTTCTGACTTACGGCTTATTGTAGAAGGCCTATTACAATTCTTGTGCTTAGACCTTTAAACATGATAAAACATAAAAAAATCTTAAATCTATCTATAAATCCAACTTTTATTGTTTGCATTAATAATTTACTTGTGTCAAAAATTATATCATTTGTATAACTTCTGCAAGAACAGCTAAATATTTCATTTTTTATATTTGACAATTAACTTGTATATCTTACAATTAGCTTTACGAATAATTTTACTGATGCGATGGACTAATACGATGTATTCGAAATCTTATTTTGAAACAGTCGCAACAATCAAAATCTTATTTTATGTAAAATGATCACTTAATTCTATGATGCACCTCATGTACTATGACGCCGTAAATTAATACAGTAAAAGGTTTTGTGTACACACATTTATTCACTTTCTTCCTTGGAACGCTCTCTATCCGAGCGTCTAGATTTCTTCTTACGCGACCGAGTTGGACTCCGTGATCTTGACTTGTGTCTACGAGATCGCGATCTTGATCGATGTCGATGTCTAAAAGTATCAAAATTGATACATATTAACATATATTATATAAAAATTTATATTAGTGTCTAATATAAAATTTCGGAAAAAAAGAAGACTAGATTTTTACCGATCTTTATGTCGATATTGAGACCTGGATCTATCACGCTCTCGATCCTCATCTCGCGTCACAGAGTCTCTATCACGATCCCTCATCATGGAATCCTTTTCTCTATCACGATCGCGATCTCTATCCTTGTCCCTATCTCTGCTCATGGAATCCAATTCCCGGTCGCGATCCCTATCTCTGTCTCGTTCCCGGTCTCTACCATCCCTCTGATCGCGCGGCTGCATCAGCGGTGGAATGTTTGTTGGTGGAACCATCGTAGGTATCGTCTTAGGTCCCATATCTTTGTCGTCTTCACCTTCAGTCATTGGGATTGCCAGATTTGTCGGCTGCCATGTCTTTAAAAGAGAGAAAAATTTTTGCTTTATTTTTTCAGAGTAAGTTACTTCCTAAAATAGCATAAAATTATCTTATATTTTATATATATATATATATATATATATGTAGTAGTTTTTAAGTTATATAACATTAGATAAATTCAAATAATTTCTATAAATAATGTTATTTTCACAAATTGTTTATATTGTATAATTCTTACTGGGTCATTGCCCCATTGGTTGTCTTGTGTGGGTTCATAACTCTGATAATACGGGTCAGTTTCTGGCATATAGAACGGTGTCGGTTCTCCAGCATATCCTGGTGGAGGTACGTCGAATGGCGGCGGTGGCATTCCTGCTCCAGGAGGTGGTACACTCATGTCAGGGAAACCTGGTTTTCTAGAATACTCTCTTCTGTCGGCAGTCATGACTTGTATAACATTTCCCTTTGGTGGGGATTTATCCAGATTTCTTCTAGAAGCTAAACCAGAGCTTCCTATAACATCTATAGTCCCTGCCATTTTCCTTCCAGGTGGTGGGCCAGCTCTCTTAGGACCCATAATGCCAGAGTATTTGCTGTTGTCATTGGTTATCGCCACTTGAGGCATTCTCATGCCACTTGGATTACCACTGCCACTACCTGCATTCAAGACCAATCCCACTCCAGACTCGCTTCGCATTCGCTTCTGACGTTCGCAATACGCTCTCCAGGTGTCTTCATTGAAACCATAGTTGAAATAATCTGTGATATCTGCACCAGGTTGTCTCCATGGTTTATCCTCCAATTGATCTAAATTAAACTCATGGGCTGGTATCCCATTGATAACGCCGATAGTTTCAAATTCATCTATACTGAACTTTCCTGGCTGTTTGTTCAGTTTGTCTGATACACCAGACGTATTTGTTAGCAATCCTCCTCTCTTGATATTTAAATTACCATATGTTGGTGCTGACTTGATATCGCCAATAACAACATGTACATCATCATCGGAATCAGATTCGCTGGCAGCTTCGCCATCTTCCTGACTAGAGACATCTCTCGTCCCATTTTTACTTGCTTCTAAGTTCTCTTCTTGTGCATTATTCAACAAAGAAGATTCTTCATCACCATCGCCAAGGGAGTCGGTAACTTCTTGCATCTATAAAAAGAAACGCATGCTTTAAGATATCGAAATATATAAAAAGATTAAATATTCGGAGAAAAAGGATAAAACAAGATATATATGTATGATACAATATGTACGATATATACAAATTAGTTTGTGATAGATTTATTTATTTTTCTTTTCTGCCTATAGATTTGTTTATTGTTCAAGTTCTCTTAGATTGTGAAAACAAAGTTAGATGCCTTCAATCTTTCCTTTAAGTCACATAGCACAGCCTTTTACAAAATACAATGTTTATTGTTCAAGTATTGTGTTACAGGTGTGACAGGTTATGTCGCATCATTAAAATGTACACAATTAGAAAGACTGTATGTGATATAAGATATCGAGTATACTAAATCTTCAATACTGAAATAAATGTAAGATCTTTGCATGATATTTTGAGGGGAATCAATTAATTGTAAATGATCGAGAGAGGTTAGGTCGCATACATACCTCGGACGGTATTTCACCAGCCCCTTCCATTTTCTGATCCTCCCGAATTTGCAAGTTATCCTGAACTTCGGAGAGTGTTGAATCATTTTGCTGAATTTCTGATTGAATATTCGTCGATGTATACTCCTTGCCGTCCGTTGAATCCCCGTATAACCATTGATCCTCACTTTCATCCGCCATTTTTCCTGCCTTACCTCCTGCATTTACCAAAGTCCTTGCGAGAGACCTCTTGTACCGCTCGTATATACCATGGTAAATGTAGGTAGAAGGAATCCCTTCCACCATGCTGATGACGTCTAATTTGTCAGACTGGGATCATGTGGTCGATGTGGTCCGTTTTCTGTTCCTGCACTAGACTGCACTAGACTCTCTCACTTTTGACAAATATCAAATATATGTGTACCTTTCTCACACTTTAAAGGAACTGGATAGAACTACTTATACTCATGGCAGAGAACTATTTAAGTAGAACTACTTATACCATGCTTACACCATAATTGGGATGTTTGTTATTTTTTGATATTTGTTTATATTGCTTGTGAGTAAGTTAGGCTCTTTACTGGATTTCATGATGACTGAAATTAGTGCGATGACAACGGTATTACGCAGAATGTTTAGCAAGAAAGCGACTTTCAAGTCTGCGATTCGCACTAAGCCACTCGCCGGTATTCATAAAAAAATGAAATTTATAGAAAAGGATGAGTCGGTTGACAATTTTGATGCTGAAGACGTAAGTGAATTTGAAGCAGACTTTACGAATGTTGGTACTAGCTACAAAATGTATGAAAGGTATGTACGTCTAACACTTTTATATATTACATTTAATGCTGGAATATAATGTTATATATACATAATAGTTTGCAGTTATATATATATATATTTATTTGCTTTTTCTATCTAAGTTTACTTTATAATATTTAATCTGATATTTAAACTCGATAATAATTTTTTTCCATTTACATCAAAACTTAGATAATTCTCATTTATGATAGTTCATTTGAATGCATGTTCTTTTTCATTTTAACAAGTGAGATTTAACTGAGTATTTACCTATCTACAATCTATATAAGACTATGGGTCTGTTTTTTGTGGCTGAATTAGTGTACAATTTAGAACTTGAAGTAAGATAAGTATATGTTTCATATTTGGTAAAAGCAAGAAAGAGAGTTCTAGTGTAGTCTAGTACAGAAATAAAAAAAAAAGAGACTATACGTATTTTACTAAGTCTTGTTAACTCATATGAAAGTGAGATATATATTATAAACCTGTATTGTTATGCAATAACTTTATTATCAAAGTAAGCAAGTAGTAACGTCCTCATCTGAGTATAGTATAAAATACATAACTTTAGATTCATTATCACTTATGTGAAAATGGAAAGTAACTGTTATTTGTTGAAAATTGTGAAAACATTGTATATAATAAAATATGTCCAATTAATTTATTATAAGACATTAATTTTTTTTTCAGGGAGATGCAGAGCAGGAAAGAACGTCTTAAACAACAGATTGTTGTTCAAAAGTATTTTAAAGAGAAAGAACCACGTTTCCTCACATTTGCTGAAAAGGAACTGATTCATAAATTACGTAACTTCAATCCCGAAGAGTGGACAATAGAGAAACTCAGCGAGAGTTTTCCTGCTTTACCAGAGACAATACGAAAAATCTTGCGTACTAAATGGTCGCCAAAATCAGTGGAGGAGGCTGTGAAATACGACAATGTGGTGAAGCAAAATTGGGAAAAATTCCGGATGGGTGAATTTTCATTAAGTCCCATACTCAGTGAACATCTGACGAAATTTAAGGACAGGAAAATTATTTCGACAGACAGAGAATTATTAGCGAAACGGTTTGTCTCTACACTAGAATTTAAGAAACCAAAGAGTCAGTTGTTCTCTAGTATTGTACAAACTTATCTCGATGAGAAACAGAGGGATACGAAATTATTGTCGCAAGAGCATAATTCAAGTAAATTGACAGATAAATCAAATCATTGTGAAAATCAGAATTTATTGACTGCAAGCACTACGACCGACAGTATAGCTGTTATTAAAAGTACAGAGATTTGTAGATTAAATAAGGAACTGTCTTCTACATCGTGTATAGATTCACAAAATCATGATGAACCATTTAATAAAAAAAAAGAGGAGCTACTTACATTTGATGAATTTGTAAAGCTGAAACTTGAAGATATAAATGAGGAATCTCCGGAAGAAGGTATCGCTCTCCTAAATGCATATAGGAAGCAAGTAGATGCTAGTCAAGAAGTGCAGAGTACAGAAGTTGCCACAGCATCTGACAATGCAGTAATTTATCCGAAAGAAGATGCTCCATCAAAAATTCTACGACCATCTGAGAAAGATGTTTTTGTAGATTCTAACGATAAAAATAGAAGCTTCAATATTATTGAAGCAGATGACAATTTATTAAATACTTCCATCATAGCGCGGAATAAAAAAGTAGACGTAGAATTAAACTATGCTAAGCCAATAAAAATCGCAAAGCATCTTTACAAACCTGGAATGACGTATCGGATCAGCGATTGTTATTACGATGACGACGGAGAATTTTTATATCGTGTTCCGAATGTATATAGTTGAATTTGTAGATTATTAATGAAGATAACAAATGTAATACACAAATGCAATAGACATAAAATAAACAAAAATTTCTCTAATATCAATTTATTATCAATTTTCTTTATTATATCAAATATAATTGTATTTTTCATATTATTCGCGTAGACGTATTTTATTACATTATTTACATTTAAATTATATAAAATAAATATATCCTCCCATTAAGTACATTATTCATCCATTTTTTTGTCATACTCGTATGACAAAAGAATGGACAAGCTTTTCAAGCCTGTTGACTTTAGCGTTTACCGTATCTGGATACACGGTATTGCAAAAATTTCATATCATCTATGTGTGTATGTGTATAGAAAGAAAAACCGACTAATGTGTAGCTAAAAAGAAACAGTCGTTTTATATTGGTATCACTGCAAATATCAACAGAAAGCGATGGTTAGATCTACTGTGCGTAACATAACCTATATATATAGAGTTTGCAACAAGAAATTAATTAAGTATCGAATTGGAATGCAACATTAATAAATTAATATCGTATTGATATATAACATTGTCTTCAAATATGATATCAACTGCTAGAGCTGTGCTTCATGTTGAACGACATATAAGTTAGTATTAAGGAAGTTATTGTGGTTATAATGTTGTTCTTTATTAATGATATATTTATAATTTTTCTTATAGTATAATCACTTATTACTTGTAATTACCAATCGATATATTATCGGTGGCTATTCATATTATCCATTATTACAGGTTATAATATTGTAGTCAATGGATTTCATCAATCTTGCGTACAATATATAAATCAGAAATGGAGACAAAAGTATGATTTCTGAAATTATCTATGTTTAAATAGAGAACATTAATATATATTCTGATATATTTAACATAAAATCATGTCTAAGTTTATTGTATAGTTATACATAAGATATCTATATTGTAGAAAATACGAAAGTGTAAGAATTTGTTCTGTTTGAATTACTTTATGTATAAAATTTATTAATATAGATCTTAATGATATTAACAGATATGTGCGTAATTTCCAATTATAATTGCCTAATTAATATAATATATTTTAGACGTGGATTAACAGCTAATCCAAACACTTGTGGTCCTTTGACAAATTTGCCAGATTATACATTTAAAAATGGAAAACCTACGCCTCTTGGAGTAAGACAAAAAGCACGCTTAGATAAACAACGTGATTATGCGGTATGTAAAATAAATAAAGATTATTTGTTATTTATTATTTGTTATGAAATTATGTACCATTCTTTATTCTATTGATTTCCAGTCAAAAATTATTAAATTAGTAGGAGAGATAGATTTTGCTGTTGACAGACATGCTAGAATGCAGGAAAAGGAAAAAGAAGAGAGACAAGAAATCCTGAACAATAAATTGAAACCTAAAGGAGATTTACTACTTCAAATACAAGCAGATACAATAAAAAAGTAGTTTTTATATATTAGATAAGAAAGTAATATACTTACTTAAATATTATCTTGTATGATTGTTTTATTTTTCCATTATTATCCTTTTACTGATGCGATCAATAGTTGATATAAAAATCGATACTTGGATCACATTCCATTAAAATATATGTGATTAAAAGGCAATATTAGAGAAACGCGATATATAAAGAAAACATATTTTCAATATTTTATATGATTTCCAATTTATACCGTATAATGTTTTGCAAAGTATACTTGTGTAAAGGTATTATTTTTAATTTTACATCAATGACACATACTGAACAATTAACTATATACTTATAATTTATCCTCTAATTATGTCGTTAATCTCGATTGGCAAGCAACACCGATACATAGCCTGCCGATGTTTTTAGCAACTGAAACATTTTAATCTTTAACGGTAAAACATAAATTTAAATGTAATATATATACCATTAAAAAATTATGACGCATACGATAATCTCACAAAGAATACCAATATTTAATGATTCAAGTAAAATCACAAAAAGATTTGCATATTACTTATATGTGTCATATAACTCACGTTGCAAAACGTGGACATTGTCATCGGAAATGTTTTTCCCGCTGTAATATTAAGTGGTTTCTTTGTGCGCAGCATAATTAATGTCAGGTTTCTTGCTGCTTTTGGCTCTAGAGTATACCATACGTATTCATACGTGGCGCGATGTATTTTTTCAGACTGAGAAAATATGTTTCATATATAATTCAATAATAAGATTGGAAATAAAATCGTTTATGTTAGAAATATTACTTTAAATATGAAGCGCCATTATGGTCTGAATGTTAAGATGTTGAACTATTATATATATTCATTTAAATGAATTAATTTCAGAAATCATATATATTCATTATTGAGAAATTAATTGGATTAAATGATTAATCTTTCTTGCGCACAAGCGCGAATGAGAGAAAAGTGAGATTAATTATTTAAATTACGTCACTTGATTGTAAAAAAATTCGATTTTTTGAGAATTAAATCCATTGATTGAATTACAGTTAAAATGTACGATTTTATAATTTTTATTTTTCTACTTTTCTACTGCAAGCTAATACTACCACGTTCATTATTATATGTTTCAATAATAGAGGAGAGTCGCCGATATACTGACATAATTTTCTAAAAAGACACCCTTTTATTTCTCGGAATTAATTATTGCATTTTATTAATACTAATAAAAAAGTGATTTTAATAATCAAAGAAGTAAAAACTCGTAACTTATATATTTGTGGTTTATTTTTATACGAAATCGGCTAAAAATGACAAACAAAAGTAAGTTTCGCTTGAAACATTTTTTTGAAATAACGAATAGTTTGAGAGATTACGTCCGAAGCTTCAAATGGGATACCTTGATTATTACGGACGTATTAAAATTTATATTTTTGAAAATTATAATTATTGTTAAAAAATATTTTCGTTTACAGTTAAAGTTATAAAAACATTCTAAAGTATAGAATTAGATTATTCTCGCAATTATTATTAAAGAAATCATTATTATATTTACTTGAGCCACGAGAAGTTCACCGACCGCACAATAAAGACACGTATGCATTAAAACACATATTGTGGCGGACACGTACCAAATTAATTGCATCAATGACAATTGACCACCTCGCTTAACAACCTAAATTATTGTAAATTATATCCATTATATTTTAATATGTATTATTTTATTGATTTGCAAGTTATATTACATGAAAAATTATAAAAAATAAAACATCTATAAAGGATCAGCATTGCATCTTGCAACGTCAATATTGTTATTTATTAATTAATTATAATAAGTCTAATATCTACTTTAGACCTTAGCAATATGATATATGCTGTACTATTATTTTTACTTACGTTAATTATTAGAAATCCATCAAAACAAAACAATATACCAAAAAAGAATAACAAACCGAGCAGCATTAAATTGAATGTGTTATCAATAGTTTCTATAGATCTGTAAAATAGATACTATGAAATAAAGAACGATACATGAAATGTTATGTAAAACGTTTATACATTTTCTATAAAATTATTTTAAACAGTGTAATTTCTATTATTTTAAAAGATTCTAATTTTTACATTTACTGCTTATTCCTAAAATATTTAAATTAAGTATGAAGCAAAATTGCATATTGTATTTTTTCAATTCAAATTTTAATATATTCTTTACAGAATTTCTTTAGAGAAAAAATCCGACAAATCGATTTTGAACACTCGTAAATATTTTTAATTCAGGACCTGATCAAGCGAATATGGTCTTTCACGTTGTACTTTAAAAGCGCTTTGAAATTTGAATTCTTTCCCAAATTCAATAGTCGCAGATGTAGATTCTCCATCTGGCCACATATATGTAAGATCAGAAGTCCAAGGAAGTTGTCGACTGCGGTATATGAGAGACCAGATGTAGTTAGCCCGATTACTTGTATCCAATATGTTAATTCAAAATTCGGGCTGTTAGATACATCGTGCGGATAATATGTTTGGATTGGCAAATGCTTTCCAACCGGATCGGTAAAATTCGTTACGTGCCTGAGTGTCTTGCCAAAAAGGAAAGAGCCGAAGGTTATCAACAACGTGGAAAGTATCATAAGTGCTCCGCAAATAGCAAGCGAGCGGGTGATTCTGGCTTGTTTTAGCATGACGATTCGTTCTTCTTCCATTTTCACTTTTATCCAATCTTTCACAATCATGTTAATCAACGGCGATAAAACTAGGAAAATAATTTGTTTTTAATATACATATATGTGATATTATTTTCTTGTAATATTATTGTGATATTGTGCTCGTGTCCTCAATTCAATTTATGGATTTAATATAGTGGAGTAGTATGTATAGGTATATTTGTTAAAATTCATAGTTTCAGAAAGTAGTCAAAACGTTTAAGTATTAGTTCGATAAAATAATAAAATAGAGAAAAATATAAAAGACTGAGATATAAATCAGTTGTTAAATAATAAAATACCTCCTTTGTTGTACCACATAATGAAGACTTTCAACATCGTTATCAAAAGAGGCAGGGTATATTGTAAATTATCTATCATTAATATCATATCGCCCCATACTCTTATCAGTGACATTACTGCCGGTATAGTCAATACAAAAATCAACATAATAATATTAAATAGAAATCGAATCTTTGATAATAATTCTCCATATCGAGTTTTGCTTTCTTTCGGCCACAAACCGATAATTTTTAACATGCTGCGATTCAGACTGATTGCCCATTCTAAATCTGTGTAATCAATCAAATATATTAGAATTATATTTGCTTAAATATCACTTTATACTATAAAATTTTATGTTTTTTTTTATATAACTTTACATATTACAAGATATTAGTTGGATTTGTGAATATTACTTTTCACTTTACACTATATAAAACATAATTTCACATATTTTTTCGTAGTTTTATATGTATATTGTATTTTACATTCTTAAATATTGAAGGTAATATATATACACAATTATATTATTTCTTAATAAAAATTTCATTTTTTAAATTAAAATACATATTAAATATAAAATTAATATAAGTCCACACAGATTTATATCACTTTTAATACAAATTTGTAATGTGCACCAATTTAAAACTTTATTGAGTACACAAGATAGATGGAGAAAAAGAGAGAGAAATAATAGAAAAGCAGAGTATAATGAAAATTTTTTTTTTAATTTTGATGCTATAAAAATAATAAATTTATTTTTTAATTATTGCGTTGTATACATACAGCAACTTAATTTAATAACATGTAAGGTATTATCTATTAGGTGATACGAAATCAAAAATATATTCCCAGTATTGAAATTTAAAACGTCAATTATTGTGTCTTGCTTTTCAATACACTCTCTTATTCTCTTATATGAATAAACATTTAATACAACAATCTTAAATTATAATACAGAAAAATAATATTTTATATTCAATATATGTCTCGTTAAAATTATTAACTAAACAAAAAAGAACACCTCTATATTCATCTGAACTATCCATTGGTCAAAGAATTACTGATCGTCGTTTGTCAACGATATCATCCCCACTTTCTGAATGTTATTACCACGCATGCTTCTGACGAAATTCTTGAAACATGGTAGGTACATTGCACCGTCGTAAATATTGCAGCAATCAGAACGAACATGTGCTGTTATCGTCAAAGTGTTCATTCGGCGAAAGGGTAGGATGTATAAATTATAATAGTGAGTGCGCAAAAACGAGCATTCGAAGTTCATTGGTACTGGTCGTTATTTTGTATTTTTTTCTCTTTTGCGAAGACTTCGTAAATGAAAGGTCGCAACTGCGCGTATAAGAAAAAGAATTTTTACGTTCGTAATAAGAAGACGAAATGGCCATATCGTAAAAATTTCAGAAGATCCGTGGAAAGGTGCCCAGCTTGTAGATACTTTTTGCGTTGCTAAAAAATTCCATTGCTGAAAGAGAAAAGAATTACCATCTGTTAGACCCTTTGATGATACATTATTAATGAATCTGTAGCTGCAGGTCGTTTCACCGAGCAGTTGAGACGTAACCAGATAACGAAAATGATGGGAAGAAATAGTGACAATGAGTAATAGTGACAATTTGTCGATGTTAATTCGAGTTATTACTAAGAGGTACGTCAGCGCAAGTTTATGATAATAATAACAATAAAATAATTTTAAGATCAAAAGACGTTTAAAATTATACTGAAAATTTCAACAGATCCGTGGAAAACGCACAGCTTGTAGATATAGTTTTTACGTTGCTAAAAAATTCCATCGTTGAAGGAGAAAAGTATGATCGTTTATTAGACACTTTGGCAATGCATTATTGATAAATCAGTACTTTGTAGCTGCAATTCGTTTGTACCGTAGTTACCAATTTCGAGATACGTAACCACAAAACGAGAACAATGGAAGTAATAAGCAGTTTGTTGGTATCAAATAAGCCATTGAAAATTTCGCGTGGAAACGCACGGCTTGTAGAGACTTTTTGTGTTGCTAAAAAATTTTCGTCGTTGAAAAAGAAAAGAGTTGCTGTGTCCTGGACATTTTGACGGTGCATTATTAATGAACGTATAGCTGTAGACTGTCGTTTCCAGCAGCCAGTCGAAATTTAGCCACGTAACGAGAAGGATAGGAAGAAATAAGTGACAGTGATAATTTGTGTGTGTTAATTTGAATATGCGAAAAGATATATGTATACGCGTGTTTATGATTTATATAAAAGAATTCTGACGAGATTAAAACATTTAAAGGAAAAGAAAAAAAAACGCTTAAAGTACGAAAATTATTGCTTTTCGAAGATTAGTGTGTATCGTTATCTTCTTCTTTCTTCTATCATATGTACAATACGAACCACGTATAGATAATACGAAAAATGGAGTGTCAAAAAATTCATTTTTTTATTCCATAATAGGTAATTATTAAATTTAAATAATTCTTAATCTGCAAAAAGATTAATTCTGCGATGAGATGTCATTTGTTTCGCATATTATTGACGAAGTAAATAAGAAAACGGTTCAAGACATTTTTGTGAGGCTTTAAGAGCTGGTTCGGCGGGATGCTAGGGTATAATTTCGGCGATGTGATTTTATCTAATCTTCTTACCTGCTTACGAACCCCATCAAAAAGAGAGAGGAAAATAAATTTGATGATGCCGTTCGTTTTTGTTTAGGACAGGAATTTCTGATGGGTGTCTCCGTAATGATATAAGGGGCATCTTAAATTCTGAAGCTACTTAAATAATTATAAACGTTAAATCTTAAATTACATAAAAATGTAACCGAAATAAATATTCTTTTTTGTATAACTATATATATATATTTATTAATAGAATTTTTATATATATTTATTATTACTAACATTGTAGCAGTAATAATTTAGCTAATAATAGATCTGGAAATAATTTTGTTGAATAATTTAAATAATTACGTATAGAAATCTCAAACATGATGATTAATGCTGTAAAAAGTTTCCCAGGTAACACTATTATTGATTTATATACGTTTTGTCTGTTTCTAATATCTTTTCAAATCGAGTATCGTTTCGTGAACTGCATTTAGATTTACGGAAAAATGCTTTCGCGGTGGTCTAATCACAAAAGTGACATTCATGAAATTTGCATGTGACACGCGTGACGATGCCGAAGCGCGGATGCGTGAGTCGCATGAATGATTGTCCAACGACGTGCTTATTATGCAACACAATACATTCTTTCACAGACTATTTTTATACGCTTATCTACGAAAATCGGGCAATTAACGTATATAATCAATCAGTAAAGATTTGTTTTCATATTAATAATGAAAGTATATAAAAAAAGCATTTAAAAAGAAGTTTTTTAGCATTTAAAAAGATAAAGCTAGAAAAATATTTTGTGTAGTGTAAACAATGTTACACAAAAAATTCATGTTTCCTAAACATATACCTATAGATATGAATTGCGATACAATGTTGTTACTGACTTAATTATCAAAACTCTTTTATTTTCATGTAGAACAAGAATACAATCAGAACGCAAAAATATCTTGTCATAATTAATAAACTGTCGCGGGAAATAAAAGATTTAAAAAATTAAAATATAATTTAAAAATTAAAAAATTTCCTTTATTTTATAAATGCGCGAATTATGATAAAGGTTTATTTTTTTCGCATACAATTGTTTTAATGCGCTGCTGCGATGATTGTGACGGAGGATCTCGTGTTGGGAGCTCCGCGAATATTGATCTTGCCTTTGGATGATCCTAAAGTCGTTGATTCGTCACACGCTACCGCGTAACTACCATTGTCGTTCACTACACTAGCGTAATGAAGAATTCCTACACAAGAAAGAATATTTAAGATCGTTATTGCTTATCAAGAATCGTACTTAATGTAGTATTAAAAAATAGTCTTTAATTATAAATTGATATAAACGCTAAATTATTTTATAATTGATTATATGTTCCTTGTTTTTTTCTTATTAGCAGCATGTTCTTTTCTAATTTTTTGCGTACATTCAATGTCGAATCAAATCAAGTTATACAAACTCTTGTTAATATTTCCTCACCATTAGTGACAGACAGAGTTAGGGTAGTTGACTGAACTCTGTCTGTTGGATTGTTAAACACGATAACTCGACGAAAGACTGTTTCGTCGGCATATCTTCTTCCAACTTCAATATTTCCGATGAATCCAGTGGCAGCATATGTCTCGGGTAGGAGATTTTTCTGTACAAACGTAGCATAAGATATAGATCTTTCTTAATGATAGAGACTTTTTCTCAATAGAAATATTCTTCGCAAAACTATTTTTCTTCTACATATATTCTGATAGAGAATACGTATAATAGTGTATAATATACTATTTATGTTTCACCTTTCGATATATTTTACGCGTTAGGTAAATCTGGCAATTCGCACAATGATTGAATAAGCTTGCTATTTATCTAACTAATAAAATTTATCGGAATTTATGGAATGACCGGAAAGTCCAGACCGATTTTATCTTGATATTTAGACGTATAATACCTATAGATTAACTTTTGTACAATTAATTTCTAGATTATCTTACGCTACAAAAATCGATAACAACGTTTATGAGAATAAAGATCCAATCGATGATATATACATTGTTTCGCTCTATATTACAAAATGTTATACAATGTTATAAAATATTACAAAGTATCTTAATGTTTACACTATGTATTAAAAATATAAGAAATAACAGATTATTTTAGTAAAAGTCCAGATTCTTCAAAGAAACAAACATAAATATTAATGTGCGCCTTACAGTCTGTTAATGAAGATTAAATTTAATTTCAGGTAATCTACAATTCCTATCAGAATTCAGGGTAGAATTTGATTTATAATTATCGTGTTCTATTTGTTCATAAACAAACGCGCTGTGTAGTTTAGCGAAAAATATTTGAAAAATACACATATATTGTAAAAGCTAGAGTTGGGAAAGTTACATTATAAAAGTAACTTGTTACTGTTACTCATTAGTCATTACTGATTAAAAAAAGTAATTTGTTACACACCATTATCATTATAAAAAAGATAATGAGTCATTACAATTTCTATTATTTTTCACCGAATTTTTATAAACTTTTTTTAGAATAGACACGAGATTGAGTTAAATTTTTAGATACTTCAGCAAAAACCGTTTTTTTTTCTATGAATATCATATAATTTCATTTTAAAATTTGACATAATCAACTAAACTAATGCTCGTTTCTGATGTAAATTAACTTTAATTTTAATTTATTTTACTCGTCATTTTCTAATTCTAAGAATTAAAAAAAAAATGAACAGAGTAATCTTAAACCGAAATTAAAGTTAATCTATAATACATTAATGGAAACGCGAACATAAAGCAATTGTTTTAATCTCGCTATTTATATACATATATATTTGTAAGTTTTTATCTATTCATGAAACACACGATAAATTATTAACTCACCAGCGCCGTTTTTGGCACAATATCCTTCTCGATGAAGTCGATCTGGACATTCTTCGTCTGTGATAGGTCGACGGCAGCAACCGTCTGCAGGAGGCCAAGAATCGCAAGCGCAAGAACAACGATCGGACGTGACATTTTGGTACGGTTTGATCGGATCTCAAGGTGTGTCCGTTTCTTTTATAGGGCAGCTCGAGTGATGCGTCAAGGTGAGCCTGCCTTATCTGCACAGCTCTTTTATGATTTCTCCACTGCTGGTGGCCCTACCGTGTTTCTTCCTCGCGGAATACAAATAAGAAAAACGCGACCGCGATAGAGGCACGTATATGCCGTCCGTCTGGTTCGCAGGGCCATGCATGGTCGACGAATTCTCGCGGATGACCCTCGAAAAGAGTATCGCCCGTCCGATTGGTATTCGAGACAAGCACTTGACGCCCCAGGTGCCAGTAATAAAAACGCGCTGTTTTTTTTGTTGGAGTCCTTACTTATGGAAGCTATCCGCGTGGCTACGGCGAAAATGACGTAGCTTTCAGACTTTCGATCAGTTCTTCGAACTCGCAAGCTTATATTCAATATTGTTTTCGGAGAGACTTTTTTAGATGACTTTTCTATTACTTTTTCTTCTAATCTTAAAGATTGAATAAATATATAAGAAAAATATATAAAAAACATAAAAATTTGCATTTTGTATTTTCAGATGGGAATTTTATACATATATATATCTATTATATAATTGATAGATATGTATAATATTAATAACATAATTATAATAAAATACATAATACATTAATAAAATTATATACAATATACATATAATATATATACCCCAGCAAACCTAGCAAATCATAAAAATACAAAAAATATTTAATGTCATGATTTGATCAAATAGATAAATGTAGAAACCTTCGAAAATTTTTACCTTCCTTTCTACCTTCCTTTAAATATCTCGACTTGTAAAATTCGCAATAGTAATTTTTTTAAGAATTTACACGACTGATTCTATTGCATCTTCTATCGCCTCACTGTAATCATTTATTCCGTAAAAAGTAATGGTGTGTGTGTTGATTTATAATTATTATGTGTGTTGATCTATAAAAAATAAAAACAAGTACAAATAAATTTTCATATTTCTAACAGTTTTAAGTACAAAGAAAAACATCTATATATTGCTAACATTCTTAAGTGTGGTCTTAGCAAATTCATACAACTCGATCGTAAAAAGACCTGTTTGGAAAGAACCAGCATTCCAACTCGTGCGGATTTTTGGCAAAAAATTCAATTTCCACTTGATTCTCGAGCGCGCTGATGCAAGCGCTCTCTATTGGAAGCAGGCAGAATTGAGATGGCGATGACTGAACGGATGACAATGACAAGCAGTCAAGCAGTCGACGATCAACATTCGGGTAAAAATGGCGCTCGCCGATGTTTGTGGCATCAAGTCTTCTATTGATTTTGGCTATTCGCGAGAAAATGATAAGGTCGTCAATGAAGTCAAGACATATACCAGAAATTTCACCAACAACCTTCATCTGGCGATGCCGCCGTTCGTAAACGTAAGCATGCAACGACAATCATGAGCCAAATTTGCAGCATCATGCAAATCACACATATTTCGTGACACGGAAATTACACTTTAAATTTGTCAAATTAACATGGACAATTGTTGTTACGTTGCAGCAATTATTAATAACGATACTGATATCGATAGTAATTAAATTCTTTGAATTTCTTTTACGATTTTCTTTCAATACACAACCAATTATTTTTAGGTTATTCTTATGTGTAATTGGGACAAAATCATTCTTCAAATTAACAGTAAATAAAACTTTCCAGAATTATATTTTGTATACTTGAATGCTTTTATCATGCTAAAATTTCAAAATGATGTTTTGTTTTGGAAAGTAAAATGACTTGTCTTTTAAATTATTTTTTTACGTTATTTATTTTTTACAGCCGGCTGAAACTCTTGGTCAAATAGTTCAAGGCACTGATGAAAGTGGAAAGAGTCTAAAAATCAAATTTGACCATGGAACCACAACTTTGGGTTTCCAATATCAGGGTGGTATCATTCTAGCAGTGGATTCACGTGCGACTGGAGGACAGTTTATTGGTAAAGTTCGTTGCATATCTCACTGATAAATCATATACATTTATGACAAAAATCAATCTACTCTTATGTTGATCTTTAGGCTCGTCCACCATGAAGAAGATAGTGGAGATAAATGATTATCTTCTTGGTACTCTGGCTGGTGGTGCTGCCGATTGCGTCTATTGGGATCGAGTGTTAGCAAGGCAATGTCGCATGTACGAACTCAGAAACAGAGAGCGTATCTCCATCGCAGCAGCAAGTAAACTCTTGTCGAATATGATTTATAATTTTAAAGGAATGGGACTAAGTATTGGTAAGATATTCTTTTGGTTCTGTAAAAGATTAGATATCGTAGGATGTGAGAGGACCTTTATATGTGTAATCTTGTAGGTATGATGCTGGCTGGATGGGACAAGCGTGGCCCTGGACTTTACTATGTTGATTCTGAGGGCACTCGTACTCCAGGGAAGGTTTTCAGCGTCGGTTCTGGATCTGTGTTTGCGTTTGGTGTTCTGGATTCTGGTTACCGGTGGGATTTGACAGATGAACAGGCCTATGAACTTGGAAGAAGAGCGATCTATCATGCCACACATAGAGATGCCTATTCTGGCGGTATCATAAGAGGTTGGTTATAAAATAATTATATATAGTAAGAGGTGTCTTAGTATAATTTTATAATATTCCAATGTTTTAATATATAATTTTACTTTACAGTATATCACATGAAATCAACCGGCTGGGTGCATATCTCGGATCAAGATTCCAAGGATTTGCATTATGCATACCATGCAGATAAATCAGCAGAACCTTCAACAAGCACTTCCTAGATTTAATTATTAAATATACATTGTGTATGCAGGTATTAATCGTTTATGCAATAAAACGAAATGATTTCTATTTGTGTAATTTATAATAAATAATCGTATAAGTTTAACGCTTCCATTACTATTGTACAATTTTATCAAAACTGTTGCAAAAAAAAAAACTGTTTATCTACAATCATGACAATAAGGTAAATGTGCCAATTAGTTGACATCCAATTATTGAACAAAACGACAGAAATTTTAAATATTAAGCTTTTAATTTGTATGCAATTTTAAATTAATTCATCTTATTAAATTTTTATAAACAATAAATTTATTCAGAGTCTTACATTTAATCAAAAACTTAATATTTAAAATTTTTTTCATTTTATTCAATAATTAGGTCATGTCCGCTAACTAGTATATTGAATATCAAACTATTAACATAATTGACTTTCAATTTTGAATTGAAATTAATCAAGTATTCAAAGTTTCACAAGTGGACATTAAAATCAAAGAATAGTTAAAAAAATTATTTAATAATTTTATTATCAGATAGATTATTACTCTATTTTTGCTGTTAAGTATATTATTATATAAAAATGTAAAGAATATTTTACAAATATTTTATTACTTTGAAAAAATATTATCTTTTAAATTTAATAATACTAGACATTGCAAATTTAAACTTACATAAAAGTAAGAAAATTTAGATATAGATATGGACTACGAATTTATATTAATTTATGTTTATATTATCTTTCATATTAATACGTAGATCGTTTTGTCGTGCATATGTCCGCCGTCGTGTATAACGTATATTCAAGACAAGGCATCGCGAGAGAAATATAAGCGACATGTGTGTGGTAACCTTTCCCCCCTTTCTTCTCACATCTTTTCACATTGGTACTTGGTAGTGCGACGCACACCGAAGGCGTCGCGTCAGAACTCGCGAGTTGGAGCTGTTGGAGTCGAATGCTATCGCTAATTCGCTACCGGAGTGGCGAGGAAGAGAGAGAGCGAGAGAGTCAGTGTGTGTTGCGTTGTGTCAGCAATCGGTAGCATATTGTGACGGGAATTCAGTTGAGACTCTGACGCGAAGACAACGGGATGTCAAGCAGCGGAGACGAGTGTAAGCTAAAGGGCGGTCATCCCCCGGCAGGTTAGTGATTTTCCTCTTCCTCGTTCGCCCTGCGAAATCTACGCGGGAAGACGGGTTAGGAGTTAGGACTTGCGTTTGTGGCTCATAGCCACGACGTGCCACCTGTCGATTGCGATCAGATTTCCAAGGTCGGCCTTTCGCTGAAGTTCGTTCTCTTAATGCCGGGTCGCGCGTCTCTCATGCGACTTTTGTCTCTTTTTCAGTAAAGGCGGGCGGTATGAGGATAACGCAGCACAAGACACCGAAGGATGAGCGCGAGACGAAGCCTAGCAAAGACGTCGAGGAGAGCAGGCCGTCCAGCAGGTGAAGTAGATCACGATCTTGGTGTACCGTATTTGTCGCAGTGACATGCTAAAACAGTTGTCCTTCGACACTGATTTGATAATTAGCGGCTTTTACCAGCATCGAAAGACGGCCGTGGCGCAAACAGTGGCTTACTGCACAGAATTGGTTTTGAAGGAGGCAGATGGAGGGAATAGGGATGGAATGAAAAATTTAATGACATTTAAGAATTCACAGATTGAATTTTTCAACAAACTAATATTTAATTCGTAACTGAAACATAAGTATGGGTCCTAGTCATTCTGAGACGTTTTCCTAATTTTTAAAAATAGTGTAATGATTTGGAATAATTTTATGTTTTATATATATACAAGCTTATTTTTTTACAGTTTTGAACTTAATTCGGAATTCTTAAAAAAATAAAATTAGTAACATAAAACCTTAATAGCTCCCATATGGTTTCTGTTAATCATAAAAAAATATATTCTCTCGTTACGAATTAAGGTCATTACATATCTATATAATTTAATTAATATTCTAAAAATAGATGTTTATTTTATTTATTAAATTATTAAACTTATTATATTTTATTATCTTTACTTAAAAGACAGTAAAAATATTAATATATTATTAATATTGATTGGAAGGAAAGTAATGTATTTTTAGATCAAAATTATATACAAAATATATTCATTAAAATGAACGAAATTTGAATTTCAAAAAAGGAATTTACAACTTAAAATCTTTACTTTTAAAAGGTCGCTATATTTTTTAGTTTCTGTAATTTTTACATATAGATAGATCATTGCTCAATGGTTAAAAGGAATGCCATATTTTTAGCTCAAATTTATATATATTTTTAAAAAACATTGACGAATACACCGTTTAATAAAGCAGTTTCAGAATTTTTTAAAATTGCGATACGCATGTAGATGATTTTTAACGGAATTGTGAGTAATCAAAATCAGAATGCTCCTTTTATTTAATCCGTAAGTAACTCAGTAACAAAACGTCTTAGGAACATTTTTGAAAAACGATTTTGTAAGGAAAACTTTAAGCTTTGATGTTAGATAATTTAAAATTTTCACAAATTTTTTTTTGGAACCACAAAGTGAGAAGAAAATTTTTCATTTTGTTCAGCTCGTAGTTTTCTATTATATGTAAAAATTACCGAACTCACAGAAACTCAAACAATATAGCGACTTTTCGAAAGTGGAGATTTTAAATTTTATTCATTTTTAATGAATATATTGTATATATAATTTTAAGCTAAATATAACATTTTTTTTCCAATACAATAGTATTAATTTTTATATTTAGATCAATTTCTTAGATATTGCTATTAATCAATGAAACAGTTGCTGATAAATGACACATATTTCTTTTATAACTGTAATTTTTATTGTATTTTCTATAAATTGTTTGTAATTATACATTGCTATTGTTCATATTTTTAATAACTTGTATAATTATTCCTCTGGATCTTCGCCATTACGAAACTGATTCTTCCCACGTATTATTCAGCTCGAAGTATATCAAACATGTGACACATCCATTATACGTTCTTTTTTTTATATTTTTAGATACGAAATGAAAGAATTGCAAGACAAAAAATTGTGATTACGTTGCTTAATCCATTTCTGCGCGACAATTTTGATAATAAGTATGATTATCGATGCTCCACATTTACATAACACAATGTTGTGCAATCGAAAATAAACGCGAGTTATATCTGAAAAACACATACGGAAAGAGATACTATATTTATGCGCAGCGCCAAATAAAAATAAACGAATTTAAATATAATTTGAGGATTAACTACGACATGTAGAATCTCAAAAAATTCCTCTGAACTTATTACGATAAATAAAAATAATTTTCTTCCATTTTTTTGCAGTAAATAATGTGTAACATGTTTTTGAAAAAAAATTCATTGATATTAATTATCAATTAACATTGATATTTGTAATCGATAATGATACATCATATCGTTCGAAATGTTTGCTTAACACAGCGTGAGTATATTTTTATTCATCTGGTATAAAATTGTCGCAGTTTATGTCTTGCAATACATCATTACATCCGTTGTTTGCGCAACAAAGACATTGAAAAGACAAAACAATATCTTTTTTCTCCAAATATAAATATATGTTGCAAAGATATGTCGGCTCTCTCTCTCTATTCTAGAATCATTTTTAATTATTATTAATGTTTCTGAATGTACCTTCTAGATATCAATTTTAAAACACTAGAATTGCCAATGGTGATTCCGTTAATTAGTTTAATTTTTTTCTTTTTTATATATAGTACAAAATATTGTAAATATGTGATTATAATACAAATAATTCTAATGATACAAATAATGTTAAAATAATTCTTTACTAACCGAAAACAAGAATAAGAAATTATCAAATTAGTACCTTTGACGACTCTTAGCAGAATACTATCGGCAGCTCTAGTGTTAAGATATTGTAAAAAGCAACGTAAAGTATTTACAATTCGGTATTATCTTATCTTCAGTCGCATATAGAAAATAAGAAGAGAATTTTTGATGTTTGCAGTCCGCCAAAGACAATAATGATTAGCGGCGCTCCGGCCAAAGGAAACGCAGATTTTCCACCAGAAGCTGTGCAACACTTCCACGAGAAACCCATACCGACTCATGACGCACGACCGGCGCATTGTTCGCGTCCCATTATCATTCAGCAGCCTAGAAAGTGAGCCGTACTTCGTGAGCCGTGCATCGTGCTAGTGGGTCTTGTTCCACAGTCACCCGTTAAATTTACAAAAAAAAGGAATAATTATACAAATATATATATATGGGAGATAGGTATATGTTATATAAGCGTACTTAAACAAGTTTTTAAAAGAATTAAAATTGAAGAGTTTGAACTTCGCGCGGCAGCGTTTGTAACGATTCTTGATCCTTTAATCGATGATTGATCGTAATCCTTTTTCTAACGAGGTACAAGGAAATTGTAAATTAAAAAAAAATTAAGTCGGGATAAATTTGCAAAAAAATTAAGAGTTACCGAGTTGGATCCATTTCTTAGGATGAAGAACAGGCAGGGCCTGCATAACTAATCGGTTGAAGGATCAAGGAGGCTCAATTTCTTGTACGCGTTGAAATATTAGATGACTTCACGAGAGATATTACTATATTGTTGTTAAAAACAAAAAAAGTTTATTTTTGACGCCACGAGATTCCTTGTATCGGCATTTAAGATGCATATACGAGCTTTTGCGAATATATCTTCGACTCGTTATCGCATGTTTTATCTTTATCTTATCGTTCCTTTTATTTTTACACTAGACACGACATATTTGCTATGATTGCATTACGATTAAGTATTGTTGTAACATAGTTACATAATACTATCACTAGTTTGGGGACCAGTATGTACTGTGACTCATGATGGAATTCGTATTGCACATTCTCAACCTTCTCAGAATTTTTCTTTTTCTTTTTGTATCCATCTGATTATAGCTTGGAAATCAGATGAATCAGCATCACTTTGAATTTCAGAGAATGGAATTTTGTCAACATAAGTTAACATAAAGTATTATGTTAACTTACGTTAATGTCATTCAAGCGTGTAAATGTCGAGCGAGATCCATAGTTGGCGACAGTTTGTATAACATTTGAGAACGAATAAACATTCATACATGTACATAAACCATGGATTGTGTCTTAATTATTTCCATGTGTTGAAATGATATTATATTATAAACTAATTTATAAATAACTCAGTGATCATTGTAGTTGATGTTAGTGTCAAATTAATATTTAATAATAAATATTGACTGTCGATATATGTATTTAATCATTAATGCAAAAACTGATTTAATCACAATAAAATATTTTTTTATTGAACATATAATAAATTTATAAGAAAACTCAATAAAGAGCCATTAATAGTGTATACTGTATAGATGTATAAATTAACATAGCAGTAAAGCTAACAGTTCAATGATATTCAATAATGTTAAATATAATTCTCCTAAAATCCACAATATAGGATTAGAAAACGCTATTGACTTTTCTCAGATACGCTTTGTTGTTCTATGTAACCTCGTATAATTTCTGAAATATTCTGCACACCAGTGGTCACATGAGTTGGAGTCTCAGACAGGAATTTCATGCTCGCTATGACTCCCTTATTCCATGATGATTTGAGAGAATTGGAGATGTCACTGGTACTTGGCAACGGTGGTAGCTATACAATTTAATAACTCCTTTTTTTAAATGAATCTAATAAAAATGTTGAAACAAAAAATTTATAATGCGAAGCAGAAAGCTGATAATATTGTCACATGTATAAATATGACTGTTCAAGTTCTAATATAAAAAAATCGACTATTATTATAAGATCTTTATAATAATAAAATTTCATCTATGATCAAGAGGCTTCGTCTATGATATTATGGACAAAGCCCATTGAGTAAAATATCAGATAAAGTTTATCATAAAGTTTAACCACAAGTTAATCAGATAATGAAAAATTGGGTTTTAGGATGAGTTTCATTTTGTGCTTACAATGCTTGTAAACATCACTTGTTTTTGTTTAATAGGCCTTCTACAATAAGTCGCAAGTCAGAACGTCAGAAGTCTTAATCAGTCTTAACAAAGTTGTTCAAGAGCTGGCTATTGGCCAACTTCACCGATTATGACTTAAAATCGCTTAGAATTTCTGACTTGCGGCTTATTATAGAATGGCTGTAATACTTGCTAGACAGTAAGACTAAACTGATGCTTACAGCATGTGAGCGTTAAATAAATGGATGTTAAATGAAGGATCTAAGGATGTTATACGAATTTGTCAATTGCGCAATAGAGCTCACTTCATTGATGACTTCCTTAGGGATATTGTCCTTAACGTAAGGTGCGATATTATTATAGATCCTCCCATATAACTGCACGCTGTCCTCAGATTTGGACCACAGACCTTGGTGAACGCTGTAGTAAACGACACCGCCTACAAGGGTGGACTTGATGACGAACCTGTGAAATATAACCTCTTGTCGTGATTCGATTTCAACTCGTGGAACAGTGCAGCATGCGAATACCGTGACAGCGTGTCCTTTCTATTCCTGAGTGAATGTACTAACCGCACAATGCCCATTATTTATTCAGAAATTATTTTAACAAGAATAAATTCAATTCAAAATGTTCTGGTCGATCAACAGTCGTCCATCAAAAACAGCAAAAAATCAGTCAAGAAAAACTGTGGTTTTTGTGGTCAAGACTAGAGGTTGTCGTTCTGAATGCATCCAATCAAAGTTCCTCTTTTCCCCGAGATGGAAGGAAAGGAAAGATTCTGATTGGTTGATTCTCTTATGCTCTATGCGTTATGCATTTATACAAAAGTTGTGTGCGGCGCATTACAAACTTTTGTATAAAGTATAAATGCATAATGCATAGGGCATAAGAGAATCAACCAATCAGAATCTTTCCTTTCCTTTCATCTCGGGGAAAAGAGGAAATGTGACCGCAACAGTTGCGGTCACATTTCAGTCAATACAGGCTGTGGCCATTACTGGCCATAACATTTTTATTAATTTCATAATAATTGGGTGAGAATCAGTTGGGAAAAACGCTGATGTGCTCGAACCCACTGGACTCCGGAGTTCGGATTCGAAATTCCATCACTGCAATCCATATTTAGTGCCATAACTGCCATCTGCCATGTGTCATCAGATAAAAGAGAATACATCGGTGGAGCTGGAAGATCCGTAAATGAACCAAAATGAATCTTTGTAGCTGTACTATAGATCCATATGAGTCTGTTAATAATAATCACGGTTTGGACTGTAGAAATGATACAAAGTGATGGTATTCAATAACATTGAATTATTTATCTTAATCTCAAAACTCGTGATTAACAATGTGGTCGACAGAAGATGTCGAATTAAAGGTATGAAAAAAGTGATATTAGTTAATGAAAAGATGATAGAGGATGTGAAATGAATAGTACTTTAATTTTTTCTGTCATTGCAGCGTATTGATACGTTATTGCAATGTGGGATATGCTACGATTACATGGACACTAGTGTAATAACCTCCTGCTCCCATAGTTGTGAGTACTTCTATAAAGAAATCTTGTTACTATTACTTTTTACACACTTACATTCTGTGTCTTATATTTTTAGATTGTTCGTTGTGTATTAGGAAGTATCTGCATCACAAGACTCAATGTCCAACTTGTTTTGAGGAAATCTTCGAGAAAGATTTAAGGAAGAACAAACTCGTGGATGAGATTATCATTCAATATTTAAATTTTAAAGAAAAACATGACAAGAAAGTTTATCATGAAAAATTAATCACTGTAAAGAATGAAAATTCTGGAGTTGAGTGTTCGACAAATAATTTTGAGTGTAAGAAGGAACAAGATATTCTCAATGTATCACACCATCATATAGATAATTCAATGCTCACGGCTGGCAGTACCACACCTCGTAGACAAAAGGATAATCAACAAGATATATCTACTCCTAGCACTAGTGCAGATCCTAGGATTCCTTCAATGTTTACTCCGAAGAGTAGAAAGAGTTTTCAAAAGGAAGAAAATCGTCAGTTAGTTACTTGTCCAGTGTGCAAAGTGGAAGTGCCTCAAAATAATATAAATAGACATTTAGATGATTGTTTAAGGAGGGAAAATACAAAGGAGGAACCTAAAAAGTAAGCATTCTCTTGTATTATTTTCTCAAATTTTTAAAGAAAATTACTAACATCTAGAATGTTTTAATAGTTTTTTATATCTTCTTGAAATACTTATTTCCAGGAGCGAACCGAAACGTAAACCTTTGCCAAAGTTAGTGTATAGTTTAATGAAAGATAACGTTATACGAAAAAGATTGAAAGAATTAGGCTTATCATCTCAAGGAGATAAAAAAGTATTAATGAATAGACTACAGAAATATACAGTTCTTTATAATGCAGAATGTGATAAGACATTTCCAAGACCTATACCAGAATTAATTAAGCAATGTGAAGAAGAAGAGGATTTGGAGAAGAAAGTACAAAAATCAAACGTAAATACAATATTACACATATCAGAGTTCTCGACAATTGATTCAGAATTTTTCTAGGTTTTAATTATATTACATTTTTTCAGAGTATTTTTTCGAATGTCACTAGAAACACTGAAGATAATATTGTAGAACAAAAGAGAAAGCAGTATTGTAAGTATTCTCTGCAAGTTACTTGCAGATGTTTGGAATATAAATGTTATAAACTCTTAATCTTTCTTTTTTCTTATTTTTAGTGACTACAAACAAGGAAAGTTTTGACAAATTAATTGTAAAAATAAAACATGACAATGGTCCACCTAAAATGTCGATTAGACGCAGCATATTAAACGGAAAAAATTCAGATATTTTACTTAATGATTGTGATGCAGAAAATAGTTCAATTTCAAAAAATGATCAAACAAATGATTTTCTGTTGCTAAATTCTACTAATTGTATCGAAAATTCGAATTCAAACACGTCTTATCCCTTGCAATCTAGCAAATGTCCTATGGATTTTCTAACTGTTGAACTAAATACCTCATCTGACAATTCCACTGATCAATGTGCTTTCAATCATGATATCTCAAACTGTTCAAATATAATCAGCCCGGATTTATTTAATCGTACTATAAAAATGGAAAATAAAACCGAGGAATTGTCTTCCGAAAATATTTTAATACATGAAGAAATAATTTCTAATAATCATTCAAGGCAATGTGGTGTTCTGAAGAATGAAATAGGTATTGATACTGCAAAATCAATTTCTGAACTTGTTAGTATGGAAACAAAGAATGAAGAACAAACGAGATTAGCTAACAGAAATAGAAGTGGCACAAACTATATGCCAAACAAACATATTGCACATTTCGAACTTAGATGGCAGAAAGAATTACGCAACGAAAATATAGATTCAATTATAAAAGACGATAACAATATTGATGTTAAGGATAATTATGGTAAAAATAATTTCTAATATATAAACAAGTCTAAATAAATGTTATTTTTCCTTTTACAGTTGTTTCTTTGTATCAGAATCATTGAAATCTTTAAGAAAGAGTTTTTATTTTTATAGAAAAATCAAATCTCGAGCAATTAAATGAACCAGTGGAAGAGTATGCTATCGGGATGAAATCCGAAAAAGAAAACATGAAGACGTTGGACAAAGATCTAACAACTTGGACTCCTAGAAAACGAGAACGCGAAATGGCATTCGCATTAAGCGATGAGGAAAAAATTGCAGATAGAATAACGAATGTTAAAAAGTCTCTCCGGTTTGGACTTAGTGAGGCTAAAGGATTTAATAACGAAAATTTCGACGAAACTGCACGGGATGAAGGAAAATCACAAAGTGAAAAGGAAGAGTCGCAGGTAATTCGTACGAATAATGTACGCAATTTTGCGAGAAAATCTGTTAGATTGAGAAATAAAATAATTAAAAATTAATATAAAAAAATTAATAACATAAATTAAACCCATAGAATTAAAATAATTAAATCATAGAGATAAATTTTTATATATCTTGTTAGCATTATAAAATGTCAAAATAAGAAAATCAGACTAAGTAATCTCTTGCAGATACATATTCAACTGATGTATATATTTTTTTACTTGTAATGCCTTTGATATAAAACAAATGTATATTTATTTTTAAGATATAACAGAGAATAAATACGAGTTTAATAAAATAAACCTCAAATTATGTTTATCTTTCTTTATTATGCGTAGCATATTTTATAATTATATATAGCAATATATTGTTAATCGATTTTTTCTGAGAAATTTCAAGATTATTGTGTAATCTACTTTTTTAAATATTGTAATATATTTTGGACAATCTCTCTCTTGATTATATAAATTCCTTTTTGTATTAATTACAGCTTAATTGATAAAAAAATGTAATAAAATGTAATAAAAGATGTGTGAGAATTCGATATATTTGTAATATTTCTCCATTTTATGATAATACCTTGTTATGTTATTCTAATGTTCTTGATAGGAAAGAAACCAAAATCTTTATCAAAGAAACAATTAAATTTTATTGAATATATATGTGTATATTATACTATACCAAACAGGAAAGGGAGCCTAAACGGTAGAACGATTGGCGCAAATTTCGATAAAACTTGTATATCTCGAATGTATATTCATAGATATTAACAATAATTTAATAAGCTTAACGTAATGTCAAAATATAGCTGCCCGTCTCTAACAATTGGTTATACAGTAAAATATTCGTCTTTGATATTACACAACTTTGATATTAATACAACTTTGGTATCGATTTATACAATTGTACAATTAACTTTATGTACATATCCGTGCAATTCGCACAATAACTCGTCTAGTTCGTAGATTTACAGCGCTAACGTTCTAAAATTCTAAACGGAACGACTATCACATTCATTACATATTGTGTTCTCGTTCTAATTCTTACTTAACGTTATTGCACTGTTACAGACCATATAATCTTTACTTATATCGTGCCGACATTTCTTTCCTCGCTTGAATGCGAGGTGCGTCATATCGCAGGAACGAAAATTTGTCTACAGCTCGGGAAGCGCATCATTGATGTAATAATGTAAATATAAATGGTTCCCATGTATTTTAACAAGCTTCTGCCTTTAACTCTCGAATCTAATATTTCATTAACTGTTTAACAAAATTTTAACAGAATGGTCAATTATCTCTCTTACAATCTTCTGACATTACATGATTAAGGATACACATGCGTAAGATTAGGAAATACATGTTTTCAGGCATAAAATAGCTCTTTCTTTAAACAAGTTTACGCAGTTAATAGTTTCTGTTCCACTGTAGTATGGCATCACGCGAGGTAGTTACTCGAACGTTGATACATCCCTCAAGTATTATTATACACGCTACAAGCGATTCTAACTTTTATTCCGTGCGTAGTTATCTGCCGATTTTTCCGGGAAAGATCGACATATTAGATGCGTGAGACATCTTATAAGCAATAGTCACAATTCATTTATCGTTAGATTCATTAGCAACTCGTTCACGACTCATTCGTTCTTGGCGCTTACTATAGATTGTCTTTTGATTCGCTAAGAGACCAGAGATAGTACCCTCAAGAAGTTAGAACGACGAATAGACTATCTTCGCCGCGGAAAAGGCCAATTTTCTCCTACTATTTACTTTTAACTTCAGTTAAATTTATTATTTTATTTATAAATTTATTTGATCAGTTAAAGGGAAAGTCCTGAAAATAGATTATCTCTTCCACTTGAATAAGGAAACTCTGCCGAGCTTTTTTTATCACACGCTTTAATTGCGAATATTGATTATTGTAAATTTTCATTTAATCATGAATGAACGAAATTGAAGCTGAAATGTAAGTTAGCTGTTTCACAATGAATTTATTCACGTGTGTGGCGACACGGAATAAATTTTCATGATATAATTCATCATTTTTTGTTCATGTGAATTCGCGGTAGTAGACGTCAAGCTCTTTCATAAAGTTGTCAAATAAAAATACAGTATTTACACAATAAATCCTGCACAATGGCGCAGCTCTATTTTTGAAGGATTCGAAAAAATTTCCATGCCTTCGGAAAAATATGAAATTTAATTTTATATATATAATTTTAGTTTTAAGTTGAACTATTTTAAATATATCAGGGAAAAATAAAAAGTATATTATTACCAATAACGCGAGCTATTAGGAGTCAACACATAAAACGGAGCGCAATCAAATTAATACAAAATAATTTATTAAATCATAAAATAACACTATAAAAATCTATCTGTACATTATATTATTACCTCCAAATTCATTTATAGATATTTCTACTATTTAATTTTTTATCCATAAAATTCTGTATTTCTTTTTTTCTTAAAGCATTGATGGAATAAGCATAATTTACAAAAGAGAGAGAGAGATATGTAGTAAGATACATACCACAAGCTCCAAATGAATTTTTCTGTCCATGCTCGTGAACATTTAAAAGAATATCTTTTTACAGCTATAGTACAACATGTATATCGCAGTTTCATAAAAAAACTTTAAATCGTTTCTCTCGATGGATAATCGATAATTTGTGGTTCGACTGATTATATTTCGTTTTGCGATATCATTTCTTTCTAGTTGTATTTTGATTGATCCTTTTTGATTCTCGAATTCATTGGAGGAATACGCATTAATCATAAGAGGGTGCCACTTTTCGTTAATATTACCATAAATGATCAGGAATACTATTGACAGGCGCCGATAATTGGAGATCGAAGAGATTCGAACTTGTGGGACGGCATTCCGATTATCCTACAATTAATGCGCAATCTATCACGGTCGGCATGTTGAACGTTCTTTTGAAATGAATTGTATTATAATTACGTTACTGTAGTTATTCTAGTGCAATAGTAATCGTAAATAATATTGCGGAGAACGTTACGAGATTAATTAATTTGCGCACGAAATCGAAATCGAGAATTTAGTGCGACGCCCCAGGGCATCTTAATCTTATATCTCTGACGTTTAGTTTCCTTTCAGAGACTCTCGCAAGAACAAGTGACTATCTCCGGACATTCGTCAGGAATATTATCTGGATGGCATCTGCGAATATTTCTCGACGGCAGTCTTTTGTAATCGATCGAAGACGACTCCTTTTTACAATCGGAAGCGTCCACGCTGTCTTTCACAGAGCGAGATTATTTTGTAAAGATGTTACTCCGTGGATGATCTTCGTCGTTAATAGTGGCGGATTTATTCTTTCTTCTGATGTTGAAGATCCGCCAATTCATAACACCTCTAATTGTACTTTCTTCTTTTATAATTTCTATTTACTTGCAATAATTCCTGTACTTTTCTACTTATTTCTACCACCTCATTATCCAAAGCTTAATGAACTTTATTAAGAAAAATTAGCGTCTTTTCCCAGCATAAACTTTCTTTTTGCTGGACTCTTGTCTAAATCAAACTCGCCATTACTGATAAGGAACAATATCGATCAATAAGATCGTCTTTTTTTCGGTTTTTCTATTTTGATCACGCACTGGACTAGTGTCACGTTATATTACTCCGTTTGGATTTTCTCATCACCGTGATGCCTATTGAGCCGCGTATCTTGCGCAATAGATCTATTATATCAGCTGTTGACATATGTTCCACACTCTCCTCGTTAACCTGGAAAGAGTATTTTAATTTTAAAATAAAAGCCTCAAAGGAATCTTTTCTATATTAATCTCTTCAATCTCTATTTAAAGTTACTTATATTTATAATATTGTTTATTGAAAATATAAATATTGTCTTTTTTATGATCAAAGTTTTAAATTATCATAATTATTAATATTATTTGTCGCCAAAATATTTATATGTTCAATAATGATCTCGCGAAATACGTTCTATGGAGGAAATTGGGAAAAGTGAAGGAAGTACCGTACTCATGCAGCGCAGATTTCCAAAGATAGTCGATATATCTTACAGACATTCAGAAGACATTCTACGTTCTAGAAAGTTTTTTTTTCAGGACGTCCTTTGAATAAAGTGCGCTGTGTAAACTTGATGTGCAAGACTCACCATCAGTAACACGTCGCCTTGTTTAAGCCTGCCATCCTTGGCCGCGACACTGTCGCGATGCACGACCGATATCACTGTATGATTTCCTTCCGGCTGCAAGCTAAAGCCCAGTCGGCTGTTCCACCCACGCGTCAGCTCCACCATGAACACCTGCAACGAGAGCAGATTGCGCAACATTGCGACACGACGTTCTTTCGCCCGTTCTCAATAACCACACATTTCAACATCAAAATTAATAAAACAATAAAACATTCATTAGATATAAAATTGATTGAGTTTCAATAAAGTCATCGTTAGGATCACCATTTTATCGTAAAATTAGCATCTTGTTAGATTATAATCAAGTAAACACCAAATAAAAGTAACATAATATTAATATTATAATTTCACACTTAACAATGTAACTTGGTCAGATCGCCATCGACGAAATCGACGAGGTCAATAACAGAGAAGAAAAAGTAAAAGAAATATGTAACTACTGTGTAACACTGTACGTGTTATATTACATTTATTCATATTGTTCAGTATGAAACCCTACTGAAAAAAAATCATGTCACAAAGTTACATAGCGAAATCATATAATTAAAATATGTAAATCATGTAACGGATTGTTCCAAATCAATACGTAAAAAAATCACGTAATTTGAAAAGTCACAATATGTTTTTTTCTTCTATTTGTATCATTTAATTATTTAAAATTCGATAACTATAAAATCATATATGTAATACATGAAATTATTTCTAATATCATGTAATTTTTTAAATTACGTCATTTTAATAATTACGTGATTTGGAACAAACCATTATATGATTTACTTGTTTTAAATACATGATATCGTCATATAACTTTGTGACATGATTTTTTTCAGTAGGGAATCGTAACATGTTTATACTTTTAGTTGGTGTTAATAAAAATCGAATTTGTTTGGAATAAAGCTTCATTATGAAAATGTGAAGTCGGGAGACCAACCTCACTGCCTTGTTCAACGTCTTCGATGGGAGCGACCGTATCCGTGGTGTCTCTCCCGGCCTCTTCTCGGTCGTGCTCGGCATCTTGATCTACCTCATCGTTTGGAGCGAACATCACACCTTTCCACTTCAACAGTCCCTTGCTGCCGCCCGGATCGTCCGTTCCCAAGACCTTTCCTGCGTGGTGCGACAAAAACCAAGTTTTTCGAGTTAGAAGTAACGTCAATTGACACTCGCGAATGTTTCGTTACTATACTCTCGCAACGGTGACCCTTATCTTATCGGTCTCTCCCTCTAACACGCTGATTTGGTTTCTGATGATAGCAGGTTAAGTAAAGACAAAGCGTATATTTGCGCGATTAGAGTTGATTCCAGCGGTAATTACAAAGTTCATTTTGTATTAATCATTATGAATTAACAAAAATAAAGCTAATATAAAGGTATACACAGTGAGGCGATTTGTCTATTTATAATTTATAAACTTAAGGAATCGCTTGCTTTTTATGTTCAGTATCTGAATCAGCCATCTTAGCACTATAATTTTTAATTTATAAACTTATAAACATAAATTATAATTTAAAAATAAGCTCTTCAATGTTAGATAAATTCATAAATGATAAATGTAAAACCGCCTCAAATAGTCATATTAATTATACGAACTCAACTAAGATTTGTATAAGCATTACACAAAGATTGCACTGGTGCTATAAGATGGTTGATTCAGATACTAAATGTAAGCAAGCGAGTCAACAAGACACACCATTAATCAATCAAGGTTTGATTCCATTAATCTATCAGCCTCTCGGATGGGTAGAAACGAGCAATGAAACAAGAACAGAATAAAATAATTACCCGGAATGTCCTGATCGCTCGAGTGTGTAGCCTTGCTCTTGGTTCCAGCCGGATCGCTGCCGGCGCTGCCGCAGGCTGGATTGGCGCTCTGGTAAGCTGGATTCTTGTAGCTGAAGGCGGCGGTGCTGGTGCTACTGGTGGATGAGAGCACTGGTGGCATTGAGGCCGGTTCGGACGGTAGATCGTTGTCGTGCTCGTCGCTCGATAGTACTGTCACGCTTCTGTCATCGTTGTAGCTCGGCTCGGCTAACCGACCACACTCCGCCTCGGCCAGGATCACGTCGCCGTCCCCTGGATATTCGCCGTCAGAATCAACGCTGCAAAACTGGAAATGCGGTTTACCTTGCGGCGCCGATAAATCGAGAAAGCGAGGCCTGGCCGCTGCATTATTCGACGTTGTCTTCGACTCGTCGTCGACGTCGCAGTAGACGTCGTAGAGCGGCGGTGGATCGATTATGTCGGTCGCAGGTGTGTTCGCCTGGGAATTGGTGATTTGCGTCCTGACGGAGCACTGGTCCGAGTCTGACGTGGTCTCCGCTTGGCTGGCCGTCGACGACGTCGTTTGCACGTCGTGCAACTTGCTCTCGGGAATTTCTGCGGCACGGAGAACACTTGTCGTGAAGAGATTTTGTCACGAAGAAACTAGCTATGGGTCCTATCATCGAGGATTGCCCCAATCCCTCGCGATTCGAGATAATTCCGAGAGACAGCTCGGCGCTGAATGTTCTATAGTCACTTTAACGTAACCGGAAACTTCTGGAGTAACAACTGATGTTCACTAATCCTTCCGTAGAGAATTTCAAGAGAATATATTTTACAGATTATATCCTCGTTTCCGGAATATTCGGAAAAATTTATACAGAATTGATTATCGAAATATTCTCATTACCTCATTGATGGCTTTTAATTATTTTTTAATTTAAGCATTCTACATGTATTTTCTTAGTTTTATTAATTTGCTTATACCTCTGTTTTTTTGCCTGTATTGTTAATTAATTATTTACCTCGATCGGTTTCGGCAGTGGGAGTACGCGTAGCAAGTCGACGTAGTCTTCGGGGTGAATTGCATGACGCACCAGGTGATTGTTGCTTGCAGCTACTAGATCCACTCGATGCACCAGGTGACAGCTTCCGGACTGCTAAGTCACACAGCATATCCACAGCTTCTTGTCTATTGGAAAACAACATGGAATATGATGAGCTACTATTCATTAATATGGAAGATCATACGCACCGTATTTTAGCTGGAAATGACCATGTTAGCAAACGGTTTATAATATAAAATGCAAACATCTTTTATCAAGTGATATTTTCTATTGCATGAAAGAATATAAATTGATTCTATATGCGATTTAGTTACTGAAGAAACGGATTGCACATGATATGAAAGCATATAAAGGAATATCCACGATAGATAGAATTGAAATCAGATTTACTATCAAATATTCTTTTATAGGTCAATGGATATACAGAATCAAACAGAGAAAGAATAGCAACAAAATTGAGATCTCTGTAAGTTTTTCTTAATATTTACAATATCTGAAATTATTACTATATATTTCGTCTGCCTGCTGACAACATTCTTTATCGATTTTCTTTTCATCGCATGTCTTACTCCAATATTAATATATATACTGTATTTTAATAGCCCTTTTTATTTCAAATAATCAAATATTTTAATTTTTAAATCTTAGACTGCATCATTCTGCAAATGCAATTATTCATTAGTAATTTCCTATAATTTAGAAAATTAATGTTCTTCAAAACAGAATCTCATGCGAGAAGAATTCAATTTATTACAAATAAGCGAAGAAGTATATTTGGTCAAAGTAAATTTTGATAATAATATTTTTGCGTAAATTTTCAATTAAACAGTTTCCAATTCAATTGATATTTTTGGATTATTTTTTAAAATCCAAAATCATCATTTTTTCAATTATATAATACTGTCGATTGCAGCACATATTCTGTATAAATATGATACGATGAATGATCCAATTGTTGGATTGAGATATACCTCAAACTTGTTCGTGGCGGACGGAGAGGGTGATCGGGTTCAGTAGGCGAGAGTGCCGAGACCGGGGTTTGAGCTAGATCGCGGTACAGCCGCAGCTTTACCGTCGGTCCGCATTGTCGTAGCAGCTGGACCGCTTCCTCGTGACTCATCGGAGACAGTGGTGCGCCGTCAACCGCGACGATCTTATCACCCGGTCGAATTCTGCCGTCGCTCAGCGCCGGTTCTCGGACTAGTGCACGCACATAATGGCCCAGGGCACTGCTGTCTGCCTTCCTTAGAGTGAAACCAAGACTGCCGCCGACCTTTGTCATCTCGATATCAAACTCCTGCAAACGGAAGTTGCATTCACCGTCTTATCTTAAACTCTACATTAATTATATTAATTATAGGAGAACATATTAATTCTCTACTGATTAATTTCTTTTTTTTTGCGTCGTTGTAAATTCTTATAAATGGAAGTTGCATTCGCCGTTGTCTCATCTTAAATTCTATATAATTATATTAATTGAAGAATATATTAATTCTCTATCGATTAATTTTTTACGTAGTAGAAAATTCAGAAGATTTTGCGATATATGAATATCGTTTTTTCTACTGATTCGTGCAACAAGATTGCAGATACTTCAATATATTTTTCATAGAGTAATACAACGTCATAAATACTAAAAAATTATATTTTTATAGCTGCGCAAAAAAAAATATATATATATTTATCGAGTCGGAATGCACGTGCGGAATATCTGATTGCACGTTTTACATTTCTTTCTTTACAGCTGTAATATGCAACGAATATAGTACGTATGTACGCTATTGTTTATGAGTATTACTTGAAGGATCGATATTAAAGTTTTCTCGGGGGAATAAAATATTGGAATTAATATGTAATACGTATACGAGGTATGTTTCGAACTTATCGCTTTACTTAATCACGTGTTCGAAAGAGAATTGCGCTACGATAATGAATTAAGTTTCAGAAACTAAGTCTCATAAATAAAATCTATTTTAGACAATCTGTAATTTGCGTTAGTATATTTTATATTTTATCGCAGTTTAAAGTGGAGCCAAACCAATTTATTCATTTGTTCTAATTTATTATATTTATATGTTTCTCTAGGGATGTATTGGCTCTCTGAAACGCATCGCTTGTAAATAATTATTTATTTGTACATTACAGATTTTACTATAAATATTATTTCTCTCATCAAATGCAGATACTGTTCCTGTACATAATATTCAAAATTAATCTCTTTGTTAACATCTACATTTATACCTACATTATCGCTAAATGTAACGTCCATAATATTGATAAAATTCACATTGAATTAAACTCTATTATTATTAATCATAAAATAATTATCTTTAGGAATAAAGATAATTATTACGATGATATTAAACTGTTTCTCCAGTATATATAAAATGATATTTTATCTTTGTCTACAGAATTATTACTAAATGCTTTCATGTAGATTTTATTAAATCGTTTAATATACTTTTTATCCATTTATTCTTATTCGTTCCAGAAACGATGGTACAACAAACGTATAATGCATTCATGGAGTGTAGTTTAGGTGGAACATTACTTACGCCGCAGGGCTCGATCTGCAGGGGCGGAAGGGGGTTGAGTAAACGTAACGATGACGGCTCTCTCCTTGCCGGGGGTGGCGGTGGTGCGCCGGGTGGCGTGACATTACTATCTCCTGGAAGTCGGCACACTACTAGCTCCACCGTGCTAGGCGTCATACGCAAAACTTCGAGAGCCTCCTGCAACAAGTAGCATCGAAATAAGATTATGCACGGGTTTCCCATAACACAAAGATAATGCTTTCAAAGTCCCGGAGTTGACGCGCCGTCGACGACGGCGTCATCTTCTTTAGAGGGGTTGTAGTAGGAGTTTCCGGTGACAACGAAAAGCTACCGGCGGTAGCAGACCGTGTGTTGTGACGGTTTGTAACAGAAACGAAACTGGTTTTGGGAAGTAAAACTTGATAGTGTACGAGAAATATTATATTTGGGAAAATGCTGATATGAGGTCTGTTCGTGTTGCTTTTTGCACTCAGCATCTCCGCTTTCTCTCTTTTCAACGTCCAAATATATATCTATTACCTTATTTTAAGTCAAAATTTAACTGAAACCGCCGTTGGTGTCATGTTAGCTTTGCTAATTATTTCAATTTTTTTATTTTTTCTATCAAATATACAGTAGAGGATATTGAAAATATGTAAAATACAAATAATATAATAAATATAATGTAATATAATATAATATATAATAATATGTATAATACAAATAATAGTAATGATACAAACCAGAATAACTTTTGCAAGATATTTACTAAAATCTTGTAAAAAAATTCTTTGAAAATTCCCAGATTTTCTTCCGGTACTTTTGTTAAAATTAAAAATTCCAGATAAAATTAGAAAATTTCTAAATGCAATTATGAAATAAATTGAAATATAAACAACGCAAACAAACTATACATTGTAAATTGATAGAAGACAGAGATTCCATGAGACTACATGTATCGTTTTCTACAACTGCAGGAGTCGCGAATATATACTATAGAATAATATACGAGAAAGCTCATTACACATAGTACCAGTGAGCCATTCTGCTTTGCTGATTGTGAGTATTGTCTTCTACTGTCATACTGATTTTTTTTTATAAAAAGACGTTCGTGAGACACACGAGACTATACACGTGAATATACACAGATGTGCGGTATGCCATACTTATTTCTAATCGATTGTCAATATTTTGCATTATCAAAGAAAAATGATCGAAGAAACAATGTTTTCAAAATAACAGACAGAATTTAAATTTAAAATTCCAAAAATTTTTCTGAGAGAGAGAGTATCGATAAAATTCTGTAAAAATCCCTGATTATCAACAATAAAAAAAGAAATCCCTTGAGAGAATTCCAAGTTTTCCCAGATAGGAAACATCAAGTTTTGATATTATTTATATGATATTATTTTATATTTGTATAATATGTTTTGATATCATTTTAACTAATTAAAAATAAAGATAGAAAATTACCAAATTAATAGACTTCGGCAGTTCCTATAATAACGGGATACCATTGACGGTTCTATATTGCTAATATTTCCTTACAAACAAAATTCTTGAAACTTTCAGAAGTTGTTTATCTTCCTTTCACGATCTTTTATCGTGAATGTTCTCTACTTCATGGACGGCGCGCTTAAAGAAATTATATTCGCAAAAGTATAAAAATTCTTCAATGTTTATATTCGAAAAAAAGTAAATCATATTTCCTGAATATTTCTTCGTTTGATAAATAAATTTAAATTTTCTTTCATTTTTTACCAAATTTACATTTAACGAGCAGTGAATGCACGATTTTTCACTTCTCAACGACTGCGGTTGAACGCGGTCGCAATTTCCCGATTGGTATTCTGTAGTAAAACAGACCAATCGAGTTAAGATAAAGTCAACGTTTTAACGTCTTCCGCAGCTAATACTGCTATGCATGTTTCGCGGAGAATGTGCGAGACTGCAAGAACGTGCGAGTTTACGACGCGTGCATACGCATTGCGTATATGCTGGCAGGAGAAGACAGTATTGCTTTTGCCCTCGTGGGACAAGCTGCCAAGTACACGTGAGATAACGTCTATCCTTTCGCTGGGGCTCGCGGGCGTAGCTGTATTATGCTAATTCAATGCAAATCTTCGCGAGAGCCGCGAGAAGAGAGCAAGGCTGAGGCCGCCAGTCGAGAATCGTTACTACTGAGTATTCAGTGCATGTAAGAGCACGTGTATGTGAGTGTGTGTATGCGGGCTTTACTGCGTTTATCTAATATCAGCATTTGTTTAGGACGTTACTTCCGCCTTGAAAACAGTCATTGCTATCTCTGTTATCAGTAAAATAAACAATATTTTTTGTAAAAATTAACTTATTATAACAAGTCTAAATTCAAATCTAAGAAAAAATATAGATATATTTATGTATATTTTTTATTCACTATGTTTTTGATATTGTGTTTAACTATCTTGCACTTGTACACAAATAATACAATATTAGAAAAAAATTAGAAACTAGTATATTTCTTTGTTTTTACGTTAAACTTTTAATCTTTTGTTTATCATTTTAACCAATTAGTTTATGAAATATCTCTAATTTTTCCGAGTAAACTTTCACTCGAAACTTGTGAAAGGATATTTACAACGTTGTTATACGTAGTTTGCAATAAGCTGTAAATTTTCATTTATTAATTCGATTCATTTACAGTTGGGTTCGTTCATTCATTTCTGTCTGTCATTGATTCTCAATCATAGTTAATTGATTACTTACGTAATTGGTGAGACCAGTCAGCGGCCTCCCGTTGGCAGCCAATAGTATATCGCCAGTTTGAAGTTTGTTGGAAAGAGCAGCAGGTTGTTGAGGAAAGAGTCTTTTCACCCTGATGGGCCCTGCGGTGCCGCCACCGGAAACGCTCAGGCCGAGACCGCGACTGCTTTTCTGTAGCGTCACTTGGAATGTACTCTCTGAAAATTATTTAAACATTTTTTAATTATTTAAACAAATTATTTAAACTTTTGGATAGAGTGTCTTATCACGCTGAGAATATTTTGTTAATCTATTTCACATGATTCATCCAGCCATTTCATGAATTGAAAAATTGGGCAAATTGCCAATTAAATACAAAATCCACAAAAGCTGAAAATTTATGACTTAATTTCTAGCTGCTATAAATCATAATAAATTTATGTTTCTTAATTAACAGATATTTATTATGAAAAAAATATTACAAAAGATAAAATAAGTGCAACTAAATAATGAGACGTAACAATATCGATTAAACAGAATTATAACGCGCGCAGCGCTAAACAGAATAGATCTTGTCTAATTAAAATTCTGATTTTTTGGAATTGCGTACAGGATGTTGGATAATTCATTGCTTCCGTCGGAGTGACGTATGGCCTAATATCTGGTAGCAGAGCTACAATAGGAACAATTACTTTCTGTCGCGGTGATTCCGTGCAACACTACGTATGCAGTACGTGCATATTTCAACTGCTGCAGCAGCTTTCGCAGGATACGCCTTGTCAGTCATAATTTTCGTGGCACTCACTCGGAGGACATGTTTCTGAAATGTGTGTAAACACGCGCGTAGTACACGCACGCGAGTTCATGTCGTTTCTCCGACGTATTTGCAGGCGATGCACATTGTCGAAATTCACTAACAGTTGCAGCGATCGCACGAGCGATTGTTTGATTTTAGGAAACTTTGATTTTATGTAACTATGCCACGTGTTGTTTATATTGCGCTACCGTTTAAAGCTCAAGTGCTTGCGTTACAAAGCAGAGCGTTGTGCCACTTAGTGCCAATTAAAATGCCGCGACAACCACAGCAAACCTAATGCAGAATTCAATTCATTAGAAGTTTGAAGTGACATAATACTAAAACAAATTTGCTATTGAGAGGGATGATGTTTTATTCAAGAGTTCTCCTTTTGTAGATTATTAGATGCAAAATATAAATCTATGTTTATTCCTTATTACACGAAATTAACAGCTGTGTTATTAATTAATCAATAGCAGAAAAAAGAAGCTTTTGAAACTGTTGCGAGATTATTTATTATGATTGGTTCTTACTCTTAATTTCTCACTGGATCTAAATAAATAAATCATATTAAAGAATCTTACAATAGTATATTGCAAAGCCGCTTTTTTTACTGAACGCCATGTGTGACATTCAAATTTATTTAGTTCAGATAAACTATTGTTTTATACAATTATATATCTTCATATTTTTTATATTGCATTATAATTAAGATATATTGTTAACATGCAATAAAATACAATAAATAAAAAATCATAGTTAATGCAAAGTTTGATAAAACGATACAATCGATTTCATTTTGTGGCTCCATAAGAGATTCATTTACGCAATTCAAATACTTTTAAATATAGAAATTAATGCGAAACGACTTCGGGATGACCCACCATATACCGGACATTGACCCAATTCAGTTGACATATCGTACGTATTGTTCACTTTGTTCACTTTGCTCACTATTCAAATCGGAGCCTCTCCCGCGCTCGCCACCTTGCGAAGAGGTAATTTACGTTCGTCGCGTTATTGTCTGG